GCTAAGATGAAACGAAGCTAAGCTAAGATGAAATAAGCTAAGGTAAGATGAGATGAGCAACGCTAAACTAAGGGGACGTAACTGGGGGAACCGCGGGGCGGATCCTGGGGGAACCGCCCGGGGCGTTTTCCACTGCCCGGCCCTTTAAGCCCATAGAGTAAGAACCCTTCTAGGCAGAGCCTAGGTAGGGAATCCTGATGCTGCTTCTCCTCCTGTTCCTCCTGATCCTCCTCAGCCACCTTGTCGGCCACAACGCCCCTCGTCCGTTTCCCCCTGTCCCTCCCCCCTTCCCTCCGTTCCCCCCTCTTTCCCCCCCCTCTCGCCCAAGACACGCCGCCCCCTGGCGTGCCCGGTTGCGCCCACGCCCTACTCGGTAGCGCTCACATCTGACTCGGTAGCGCTAACGACTTACTCGGTAGCACTCGCGTCCAACTCGGTAGCGCTATCGACTTACTCGGTAGCACTCGCGTCCAACTCGGTAGCGCTATCGACTTACTCGGTATCGCTCGCATCCGACTCGGTAGCGCTATCGACTTACTCGGTATCGCTCGCATCCGACTCGGTAGCGCTATCGACTTGGGCACGTTCGCGTCCGCATCGCCCAACAGTGATGTGTCGCGCGCACGCGCGCAACATTTCCTCGCCCAGCGTGTGAGGGAAATGTTCTTAGGGTCTCCAGGCTCGGGGTTGTTTAAAAGGTTCCCGACTTCGGCCGAGCTTTTGAAAGGGGGGGGGCGCTTTTGAGTTTACACCTGGGTAGGCTGTGTACTTGTAGCTCAAGGGTCAGGGCCTTTGAAAAACAACCCAGCCTTCTCGACAGCCCGAACCGACGATGTCCACGTACCCCCCCGCCCCTGATAAACAGGAGGTGGCGCTCCCCGTTGATGAAAAAAAAAACCCGATCTTGGCAGACCTTTTAAACAACCCCGGGCCCGTCGATCCTTAAGAACATTTCTGTGTTTCCCTCTTCATCGGGTCTCAAGGCTTTCCACGAATCTAGCCCTTGCCCCTGCCAAAACGAAACAAACGACCCAGCGTCGGCGCGCAAAAATCCCCCGATAAAATAACAAGACAGCGCTATCCCACTTGATGGGATAGATGGTGCATCTCATCCAGGGTGTGATTCACAAAATGCCCCTCCTCCTGGAAACAAGCCAAACAACCCTAGCATCGGCGCGCAAAACATGCCCCGACATAATAACAAGACCGCGCTATCCCACTTGATGGGATAGATGTGCATCTCAGCGCCGAACCAAGGTGTGGTTAACAACATGCCAATCCCCCTCCTGGAAACAAACCGAACAACCCAGCATCGGCGCGCAAACAATGCCCTGACAAAGTAACAAGACATCGTTATCCCACCTCATGGGATAGATGTGCATTCCAGCGCCGAACCAAGGTGTGGTTAACAGCATGTCCCCCCTCCTGGAAACAAACCAAACAACCCAGCATCGGCGCGCAAACAATGCCCCGACAAAATTACAAGACATCGCTATCCCACCTAATGGGATAAATGGTGCATCTCAGCGCCGAGCCCAGGCGCGGTTAACAAAATGTCCCCTTCTCCTCCTGGGGCGACGGCGGAACTTGTGCGGAAGCGGGATGAAGTAATGGCGGTCGCTTTCCGTGGGTGACGACGGCCGTTCTGTTCTGCCCACGGAGGGACTGTTGCAACATAGACGTCCGTCTCACTCATGTCCTGGGTTCCTGAATGAAGGTATTCATAAAACTAAGTCGCTCCTCAATTGGTGATTTAAATCATCACTCCTGACAATGCCTCAGTGCTCAGATGCGCGCAACGGCTCGCCTATTGCATGTTGGCTTGTGCGCTGCTCCAAGTGTTCTGGTTCCTCCACTGCCTCTGTCCTCCCTCTCTCCTGAGTTCCCTTCTCCTCGTCCTCCTGCCCTCCCTCCTCCTCCTGATCGGGGCGAGTCTGGTTTCGCAGGTTTGCTTGGGGCCTCCCGTCGAGAACAAAACAACAAAAAACAAAACAAACAAGGTGGTCTAGGGAGCTTCCTCTTCCACCCCCCTTCTTCCCTTTCGGGTAGGGTTTACCCCTTCCCCTACCCCCTCCTCTGGACCTGGACGGGAGGCGGCTTGAGGGGTTGGAGCGTCGCAGGTTACCCAAGACGGCTCCAAGAGCGCCTCAAAGAGCCCAAGATGGCCTCCAATATGGTTCACGATAGCCCATGACGCCTCCAGATTGCTCCTAAGATGCTTCAAGATGCCCCAAGACCGCTCCAAGCCACGCGTTGCGTGGTGTCCAATTGCCCACGCGTTGCGTGGTCACCTCTTGCCCGCACGTTGCGCGGTCACCTGTTGCCCGCGAGCTGCTTGGTATCATCAACATCATCATCGTCAGCATTATCATCATCATCGTCATCATCATCATCACCATCATCATCATCGCCATCATCATCAGCACCATCATCTGCATTGTCATCATCATCTTCATCACCATCATCATCATAATCACCACCACCACAATCATCATCATCATCATCATCATCTGCATCATCATCAGCATCAGCATCAGCATCAGCATCAGCATCATCATCACCAGCCCATCAAAACAATATGACCTTCGTATTGTGCCTTCTGCAACCGAATCAAGTCATTTAATGATCCATTTGGCTGATTTTGCTTGGGTCCCCCGGAGCCATCTTGGGTCATCTTGACGCTCCAACCCCTCGCCCCCCCCGTCCAGGTCCATTGGAGGGGGCGGGGGCAAGTCCCTCCCCGAAAGGGAAGGCAGGGGTTTGGAATGTTGTTTCTGTTCCTCGACGGGAGGCCTCAAGCAAACCTTCGAAAACAGACGCGCCCCGACCAGGAGGAGGAGGGGAGGAGGAGGACGAGGAGGAGGGAACACAGGAGAGGGGGAGGACGGTGGCAGTGGAGAAATCCAAGCACTTGGAGCAGCGCGCAAGCCAACCTGCAATAGGCGAGCCGCTGCGCGCTTCCGAGCACTGAGGTAACTGGCAGGAGAGCTGATTTACATCTCTGAGTCCAAGCTCCGAGGGATACATTGCTCTGTGATCCGTGCCAAACCGTATCTGCATAGCTCCACAATTTCATCACATGTACTGCTCTGAACCGGTCCTATGTGTGTCTGCACATTCCGATCCGCGGATCCCTTTGGCTGACTTTGCTGGGGTTGCCCGCCAAGAGCGCCTCGGAGAGCCCAAGCTGGCCCCCAATATGGCTCAAGATAGCCCCTGATGCCCCAAGATGGCTTCCAAGATGGCTTGCAAGATGGTCCAAGATGCCCCAAGACCGCTCTAAGACGGTGCCAAATGGCGACGGAGCCTTCCAAAGGAAGCCGCCAATATGTCAAAAACCTTCAAACACCTACGGAATATCAAAGTGTTTGGCCTTCTCGCATTTTCGCATCAAATTGCCTTACAAGGCTTCAAAATTGCCTGGCCATGGCCCGAGAGAGCCCCAAGAGAAGCCCAATAGAGCCCCAATACGGCCCCAAGAGCGCCTAAGCCTAATAGCGCTCCCAGAACGCCTCAAGAGGGCCCCAAGAGGTGATTATTAGGGCCCCCGAGGGGGGGGGTCAAGATGGCCCCGAGAGCGCCCCTCAAGCTCCCACGAGCACCTTGAGGGCCCCAAGAGGCCCAGACCACCATCTGTAGCCATTTTGGCTGAAACACTCCTGGGCTCCTGAGCCCCTCGGCCTCCGTCTCCGACGCTGTCAGACATCGGCACGATGCCGCCTAAGGGCAAGGCCAAGGCCTCCCCTGCCACGGCCAAGGCCGTGCGAGGCAAGGCGCAGGCCACACGAGATCGCGAATCTGCTGATGGTCAGCCCGGCACCTACCAATGCGGCCTGGGCACGTACAGTGCCAAGTATTACGCGAAGCTCGACGCAGCCGAAGAGACCATCATGCAACATGACCTGTTCAAGAACATCGGTATGATGGGCGCGCTCAAAATCCAGACGATCGGCGAGGATAACGACGTGTCGTCTCACATCGCGCCCTTCTACAAAGCTGATTGCAGGATTGCGTTGCAGAGTCGTTCTATTTACGATTGTGGTTTCAATGCCTTCCATCTGCTGCTCAAGAGTTCGATGTCGAAGTCAGTACCCATCAACGAGCACGCAGTCCTGGAGTTCGCAGGGGCTAACTTCGTGGACTCTAACGACGTATTCCCTTCGATGATCCACACTGCGGTGGAGAAAGACACTGACGACGTCGAGTCCCTCTTCGGCAAGCTCCCGGTCCTGTCGCCAGAGGAGCCCCGCCACGCGTTCTTGTTCAAGCTGGCGGAGCGCATCTCGGCGGGGGCCGATCATGATGAGATCATGGGTTGGCAGCAGATGGCTCGCAGCGTGACGGTTCGCATCCACGTCAAGGAGAACAACAACGACAGGATTTGGCTAGGCACCGGGTAGTACTCTTCCCCCTCAGAAATCATGGGCTGGCAATCTGCGTCCCGACCTGTCTCGATCAGAGACAAGGCGGCGCGGAATGCCATGCCCAATGATTCGACGAGGGTCGGAACGGTCTTCCCAGGCACCGTCTTGCGCAACAGGATCGCTCAGCAGTACGACCTGGTCGTGCGCACGACGCCTCAGTTGATCGTGGAGCTTGCAATGCATAAGCAACGGATGCAGTCGAAGTACTCCCCGGATAACTTGGCTGCAGAATTCAACGCGCACATCAGGAAGCAGAGCGGCTCGAAGGAAGACGAGATCACTGGTTCTTTGGTTGATCAAGCAATCACGGTCTGGAACAGGTGCTTATCTACTACAGAGAACATGGAGATTGTCATGGGCAACGTCAACACGTACGGCCACAATACGGTCTTCAACGGGGTGGGGAACCTCCAGGCCATTGTGAGCAAGGGCTCGACATCCCATAATATCAAGTGGCTGATCCAGGACATGGACGACCAGTTCAGGAACGGGGGCATCAGCCAGAAGGGCCTGGCACTCAGGGATATGCATGGGGCATAGGGTAAGGTGTCTTGGCCAGAGAAGAGCCTCTACAGGATGAGCGTGCTGAAGCACCTGCGCGACTCCTGGCTCGAGATCCAGCCGTGCCCTGCCGCGCTCAAAGCCAAGCTTCGCGACCTCACTGAGTCGCACAAGTCTTGGCGGAAGGGCCTGGGCTTCTCGCACAATGGCGGAGAGGTTGACCAGAGCTGGAAGGGTGAGTGGCCAGTCTACATGGACATCGCCGTAGAACTATTTTCGGTCGTCTTCGACAACACGCGCGACTCCGACATCGAGGAACAGTGCAAGAAGGCTTCTGCCGAGGAGTTCGTTGAGCAACACTTAGGGTCGCACCTGAACGACTGGGCGGAGTGCTTCAAGACCGAGGATAAGCAGAAGGAGGACGCGGGTGCCGCCGTCAGCGAGACAGCCCCTGCGCCGCAGCGCTCTATCCCAGCGCAGGTCAAGGAGGCGCCGCCCGAGATCTCGAAGGCGATTCAGGACATGGGCTTCACCCTCAAGGACCCCGATGACGTCGAGACTTTGCAGGCTTTCTACTCGAAAGCAAGGACGCTCGTTCGCACCTTCGTTACGCTGGTCCCAGAGGAAGCAACTGTGGGCAAGATGGTGTCGAAACTCGAGGAGCTACCGATTCATCGAGTGCAGGGCAAGAGCATGGAGTCGCACACTTCCTACTTCGCTTTCCTGTACACCTTGAACTTGAGTGGCGAGGTCGCCACTGCGCCACATGTTCGGATGATGTCCTATAGGAGAGACGCCTACCAAAAAGCAGTGGACGTCTTCCTGGGGTTTCGCGGGTCGCCTACTGTTTTCCCGGACACCGACGTAGCGATCGTGCTGGACGGCTACAAGCATGGCCTGAAGGCGCAGATGTTCAGCGCGTGGCAAGTGGACGGCAAGGCTGTCATGAAGGACGAGACTACGTACTCTCTGATCTACGACGCCGACCAGCTGCAGAGTCGCCTCGGCTGCATCCGTGGATGGAAGATGCAACAAGTGGAGTGGATGCATGTGATTCACAACCCGAATGGCCTCAACCTCAAGATTCGCAAGAGGCTCCTCTACGAGGGAACCAATCGCTGGGAGATCATGCAGCCAGTCCGCTTCAACGAGTGGAAGGACTCGTGGCACATGTCCTACGAGGAGAAGCTCTCTTTTTTCGGATCGCATCGGCATGACGTTGGAGGCTCGAGCGGGATCCCTGTGCCCAAGAGGAGCCCGAAGGATTCCGAGCCCCTGCTCTACCACTGCCCTGAGCCGAACTTGTTCGACGAGCAGTACCGTTGCTTCGACATGGCTGGGGCCCTCGACTGGAACGCCGGTGAAGGCTTCGCGGCCGTTCCCTTCATCCGCTGGCGTAAGCCGTACGTGGGAATTTGCTTCAAGATGTCGCACGTGACGGGCCTGTACCAACGCCTGGAACCCCTCGTGCTGATGTGCATGCTCAGGGTGGACGACGAGCTGCACGACCCCAAGTTCGCAGCGCTCATGGAGAACAGCTCCTCCAAGAAGGATGATTCTAAGCCTCAGCCTAAGATGAAGCGGACGAGCAATCGTGGTCAGGGTGGCTCCGAGTCTAAGCCCGACGGCGATGACGAGACGCCACCCAAGAAGGCCAAGACGGGCAAGGGAAACAAAACGGACAAGACGAACAAGTCGGAGAGCCGCGCGGAGCTGCTGAAGTTGTTGGAGGGCATGGGGAAAGGCCCCAAGAAGGACAAGGCCGGCAAGGCGGGAGCTGCTGAGGAGCCCGAGGATGACGACAGCGAGCCTGAGGAGGAGGAGGACGAGGACATGGAGGAGTGAGGATGATGCCTGAGCCTGTCGCACTTTCGCGCGATGCTGTGGATTCGCGGTCGTGCATCGCATGGTTTAGTGTTGCTGTGCCATCGCAGTGATGGCGCATCGGCGGAGGCGGATGCCTCCCTCGAGAGAATGGCCTGGCAGTGCAGCCTTCTGAACACCTGGCTCAGTTGAGGATATTCAGATTAAGGGTTTCAGGGCGAGGATGGGCTCAGGGTTCACTTGAAGGCATGCTGCTGCACTCCAGGCGGGCAAGCACCAACAAGACATCTGGCGAGCGGCGGCTGGAGGGCACGGTCGGGTGCCAACAGCCGCTTGCTCGCAAACGCGCAGGAAACCATCATACTTATCATCATCATCATCACCACCATCATCATCACCATCATCACCATCACGACCACCATCATCACCATCATCATCATCACCATCACCTTCATCCTTATCCTCATCATCATCCTCATCCCCATCCCCATCATCATCATCATGATCATGATCATCATCATCATCCTCATCATCAGCATCATCACCATCAATCATCATCCTCAGCATCCTCATCGTTATCAGCATCATACTCATAATCATCCTCATCATCAGCATCATTCCCTACCTAGGCTCTGCCTAGAAGGGTTCTTACTCTCATTGCTTAAATATGCCCGGCAATGTTCCCCGCCCCGGGCGGTTCCCCCAGGATCCGCCCCGCGGCTCCCCCAGTTGCGCCCCCTTACCTTAGCGTTGCGTATCTCATCTTCGCTTAGTTTAGTTTAGCGTAGCTTCATCGCTGCTCAGTTTTATATCAGCTTAGCTTACCTTCATCTTAGCTTCGCTGAGCTTTAGCATCGCAGAACACAGCATAGCATAGCATAGCGTAGCATAGCATAGCGCAGCACAGCATATCATAGCATAACCCAGTACAGCATAGCACAGCGCAGCATAGCATAGCATATCATAGCGTACCATAGCAGAGCATAGCATAGCAGCAAAGCAAAGGCAAAGCAACAGCAGCGACAGGAAAGCAACGCACAGGCAACGCAAAGCAAACCACATCTCCCTCATCTACCTACGCTCTGCCTAGAGGCTAGCTTAGCCTATTAGCTTAGCATGGCGCAGCGCTGTACTAGCATTGCCCTCCCGACCTCTGGGGCCCCAGGCAGGACATGGCACGCCGGGCATGGGCAAGGCACCATGCAATGATGCCCTTCAGCGGCAGTTGCCCAACACTGACAGTATGGCGGCGCGTCGGGCCGCAGCTCGAGCGCCCAGGGGCGAGATCTGGGTAAGAAGGAGGGGGAGGAGGAGAAGGAGGAGGAGGAAAAAGAGGAGGAGTAAGGGAAGGGGGAAGAGGAGGATGATGATGAAGGAGTGGATGGGGGGAGGAGGAGCAAGGGGTGAGGAGGACAAGGAAGACACGAGGAGAAGGAGGTTAAGGATGAGGAGGCAGCAGGGGAGCATAGCATAGCATAGCACAGTATAGCATAGCAACCAATGCTGCTTTCCTAGGGGCTCCAACTTCTAGGTCGGGTCGCACTTGGGTAATCAGCATCATCATTATCATAATCATCCTCATCCTCATCCTCAGCATCCTCACACGTTGTGTGGCCACACAGGGAGCTCCAGCTAAAGCCAAAGTAACTTCGCATGTTGGCGACACCCCGTTTCGGCAGACCCATCACACAACGAGTAGGAGAAGGGGGCTACTGCTCCTCAGAAAGAGCCACAACAGGACCCCGAGAGGGCCTCAAGAAGACACCCAGATGGCTGCCTGAGTCCTCGTCTTCATCCCCCTCGTCCTCGTCCGCGTCCTCATCTCCTCATCGTCCTCCTGTTCGTCCTTTTTCATCTTTCTCGTTTTTGTTTTTCGTCCTCGTGTTCGTCCTTCTCCTCGTCCCTGGCCTCCTGGGCTGTCTTGGAGCTCCCGTGGAGACCTCTTCGGCCGTCTTGGGTGGCCAGACGCCCAGACAGGCGAAAACTTATTTTTCAATAACCTCATGACAATCACTGTTGTTTGCCTACCTGGGCTCTTCTGGAGGGCCTCTTGGAGCTCTCTTGGGCCGTCTTTGGGGCCTCTTGGGCCGTCTTGAGGCCGTCTTGGGGAGCTGAGCCGTGTTGGGCCATCTTGGGCCATCATGGTGTCAGCTTGGCTGTCTTGGAAGCCGTCATTGAGGCAATCTCGGCCGCTTGCGCCGCCATGCAGCATACAACATCACAACGATAGTGTTGAGGGAACTCCAGGCCTTTGAACAACAAACGAGGGTGTAACACGCTGGCGGTCATCTCACGGCGGGGGAGGCGTGGATGTTTCCGAGCAGACATAACCCGAGGAAACTTGCACGATTCAGAAGAACGATCCAATTACGAGTCTGCCACAAGACTGTGCGGAGGCACCCCGCGTCGCGCGTACGCGCGACCATGCTGTAGATTGCCCACATACACCAGCACCTCATTTCATGGCGTTCAGAATCTGGAAAAATATGATCCCCGACACGTTAGAAGACACTGCATTGCCGACCATCTTCTTGAACTGCTTGATGCTCACCGTGTCGGGGATGACCACGCCCTGCATGTTCACTCCCTGGAGCTTGGCCAACTCCTCGTGGGTCGTGAAGCGCATGAGGTTCGATATGAAATAGCCGCCTCCATACCCGCGGTTCGCTGTGATCGTAGGGCATATATTTTTCTCAACCGTGACCCAGCTCTTACCACCACCCAGTATGTCCATGATCCACGTCTCTGTGCAGGGATTGCCACCTTTCTTGAACACCTTCTTCATGGCCTCGAAGAGGTTTGGGATGGAGTAGTCGGGGACGTCGTCCAGGCAGCCCTTGAGCTGCATGTCGAAGTAGCTCTCCAGGCTCGGGACCGGCAGGGGTGCAGGCATCTGGAAAACAGGAATGCTCGGCACCGCCGACTTGTGCAGTGCCACGGTGTAGAGTCGCTTCCTGCGCTGGGGAACGCCGTAGTCTTTTGTGTCGACAACGTGGTCGGAGCGATAGCCAATGCGACGGAGGCTGTGCATGATGTACGAATAGACGCCGTAGTGTTTCGTCTTGATGGTCGGGACTTGCTCCATCACTGCAACTAGGGGCTGGTGTCGGCGGATGTACTCCAGGGGGAAGTTGACGAGCGTGCCGTCCCTGTGGTCGGAGGACGCCTCCCAGCCCTGCTGCTTTCCCTGCTGGCTGTACTTGTTGCATGGCGGGCTGTACCACAGGAAATCAACATACGGCAGGCGAGCCAAGTTCACGTTCTTCACGTCACCGTAGATAACGCAATCGGGGGCAATGTTCGCTTTGAGGAACCTCTGGCACGCCCGATCCTTGTCGATTGCGAACTTCTGCTTCACGCGAACATTTGGCCCGAACAAGGTCTGCAACACGTACTGCAGGGGCCGTAGCCCGTTCTCCATGCCTGAGAAGAAACTGCCACTCGTAAGATCGCCCTCGACACATTTGGATTTTAGAATGTTTGGTAACTTGGAAGTGCGCTTCTTACCCAGCTGCATAATAGGGGCAGCAGCCTTACTGGCTGACTTGTTGGTGGGCTTGGACGCGGCGACCATTGCGCACTGGTGTTGCGCGCCGGGGAGGGCTTGCTAAACTGAGAACTGAGCAAGCCGAAACCTCGCAGGAGGAGAGAGGCGCTCGGGGCGCCGAGGCTCCCCCCCAAGTTGCCTCGAACCGTGGCAGCAGGGGGTAGGGCTGGGAGGTGAGCTAGGGCTGACCTGAACGCTGTCTTGGCGTGGCTCGTAGCACTCCGCTGGGCCCCACCACGGTCTAGGGATGCACGCCACTTTTCCGAGCTAGATTCAGCCGTGCATCAGGGGGACCAAGAAGGCAGGATTAGCTTGGCGAGGAATCCAATCATGTGCAAATGTGAGTACCACAATTGTGAGTATACGATTCGAGGTGAAACTCCCTATGGGGCAAAACTTGCATGCGGGCTGTGCCGCTGGGGCCTTCGGTGGAGCTCTTGTGGAACCACTATAAATTTGTGGGCTGTGCCGAAACGGGATTGTCGCCCAAAAGCGGGCTGCGCCACTGGGGCCGTGGGTGGAGCTCCCTGTGGGGCCACGAAACATGTGAGGGGTGTGCCGGAAAAAAAGGCGGAGTCGCGCTGCACCACGGGGCCTTAGGAGTCGCGCTGCACCACGGAGTCGCGCTGCACTGCTATGATGCGCTATGCTATGCTATGCTATGCTATGCTATGCTATGCTATGCTGGGCTATGTTATGCTATGCTATGTTAGGCTAAGCTATGCTATGCCATGCTGCGCTGTGCTATGCTAAGCTATGATATGCTATGATATGCTATGCTAAGCTGCGCTATGCTATGCTATGCTATGCTATGCTATGCTATGCTACGATATGCTATGCTGCGCTATGCTATGCTATGATATGCTATGCGATGCTTGGTTATGTGCTCCCCTCCATTGACGACGACGGCGTCGCCGTCGTCGTCATCGTCGTCGTCACCTCGTCGTGGTCGTGGCCGTCGTCGTCGTCACCTCTTAGTCTTCGTCGTCGTCGTCGTCGTCAATGGAGGGGAGCATTGCCCTCCCGACCTCTGGGGCCCCAGGCAGGACATGGCACGCCTGGCATGGGCAAGGCAACTTGTAATGATGCCCGTCAGCGGCAGTTGCCCACAACCGACAGCATCCGCTTTTGGGTAGACGACATGGATTGTGATGATGATAGTGTTGATGGTGATACTGGTAATGATGACGACGGCGATGAATGATAACGGTGATGATGGCGATGACGATGATGATAACCAGTGTAGTGGCTCTAGTGGATGATTGTTGTGCAAGTGATTGAATGTACCATGATACCCATGTAAATGCTTATGATTATGGCAGTGGTGACGATGACGATGGTGACAACGGGTCCTCGGCAACAAATACACACATCAACAAAAAACGCACGGCGAAGATCTTGCACGCCAGAGGCTCAGTAAGCCCGCGCGCCCGGTAAGCCGAGGGGAGGGACGGATAACTGGGGGAAAACGGCCAAGGGAAATGAAATGCTGCTAAGACCTGCCAAGTCCTGTCTGTCCTCCTCCCCGCCCCCTCCCTCGACTCCGTTCCCTCCCCCCTCTTCCTTCCCCGCCTTCTGTTTCTTCACGTTCGAGTCAAACACGATGGCCGGTATTGACATGAATCGCCCAACTCAAGCAGTGGCGAAGCGTCCTGGTTCGCCTATAGTCCTACCAGCCTACCAAACACTGTTCAAATAATTGTTTGTGGTTCCCACGAAATGTGTTTAGAACATGTCTTGCGGAGTCTGCCTTGTTTTAACACATCGGGATTATGTTCTAAGAACATTGTTTTTTTGTTAGAACATTCCTGGGTTCTAAGAACATTTCGTGGTTGGACTAGAGGAATGCCGAGACGGTCGGTCCCTGCTCAATAAACACGATGGCCAGTATTGGCATGAATCGCCTAACGCACTGTCAGATGTAATGCCCCCTGCCTCGACGGAGGGGCCCGGTGCGGCCCAGCGCAAGCTGTTCAAGCTCGTCAAGAATCCGGACGGGACTGTGTCCGTGCGCGTCAGCAACGGCGGCTACGTCAGCGTGAACCAGGACCTCTCCTGCTGCTCCTCCTCCTCCTCCTCCCCCTCCTCCTCCTCCTCCTCCTCCTCCTCCTCCTCCTCCTCCTCCTCCTCCTCCTCCTCCTCCTCCTCCTCCTCCTCCTCCGTAGCCATTTTGGCTCAAGATGCTTAGTTCCGCAGGGGAACAAGTGGATACCGCTAGTCCGCGGCCAGTTTGCAGTCCTTCCCCTGGTCAGCCCCAGGGCGAGCGCCGAGGTGGTCCGCCCCACCTCGGCGCGTCTCTCGCATTCTCATTCGCTCGGGGCCGTCCTGCCTCGTGCATCGTGTTCCTGTTCCTCGTGTGCCTCGTCTCGGCAGGATGGTGCCGCGCCCAGTCGCCGACAAGACTTGGCTGTGCAAGACCTGCATCCACGAGCGCACGGGTGAACCATTCTTCAATAAGGCTGACCGCACATCATGCTTCTCTTGCAGGCGGCCCAAGAGCAGTTGTTTCAAGGCCTACAAGACGTCCACCGCAGACCCGAGTGTGCACGCTGGAGGTCTCAAGGCTGGTGGCAAGAAGGCCGCTAGCGCTGGTTCGGCACCGTGGGAGGTTGCCAAGCAGTTGCGACTGGCGCAGGAGACGATTGCCAAGCTCGAGAAGCAGATCCAGGCCAAGCACGTGCCAGCGCCTGATGCCATGGACGTGTCGGAGCCTAAGGCTATGGCAAACGATTTCGATGAAGGCAAGTTTCGTGCACGAATTTTGGAGTTGGATAAGGAGATCGCAGTTGCCAGCAAAGGTGTTGGCGCAGCGTGGGATGTCCTCAAGGAGGCGCTCACAAAAGAACGCAGCGAGCTCCAGGATGAAATTAACAAGCACAAGCCTGCAGCCTCACGCATGTTCGTCGTTGGCAAGCAAATTGAGGCTATGGGCAAGCAGATTGCAAAGGCGGAGAAGGATGTTGACGACCAAAAGGCCGTCATCAAGGAGCTCCAGGAGGTGCTGGGGCAGGCTGAGCAGAAGGTGCTGGACAAGAAGGCCAAACTGCTCGAGCTCCAGACCCAGCACGCTGACTTGGCGCGCCAGAGCTATGTCCCACCTGTGCCTAATGACGACGGGGAGGCTGGGCCGACTGTTCATGCTCTGGGCCTGGACACTACCAAGTTGGGAGAGGTGTTGCGCGCACTTGGAGCTGGAGACAGGACTGACGCCATCGCGCACGGTGTGGCTCAAGCACTGCCTCAGAGTATCACGAATGCTCGGTTGCAACCAGTGGGCGCGACTCGACACCATGCAGGTCCTGAGCTGCTGGACAATGAGTCACTTGCTGATGACGATGCTCCTCTGGTTCCTATCAAGGAAGCAACCGAAGACGTATTGCGGCCTTACCTGGCGGAGGCGGGTCAGGAGGTCCCCACATCGTTGGAGGAGATGCGCGACGCGGCCAATCGTCTCTGCAAGCTGGAGCAGCATGCCAAGCAGAGGAAAGGGCCAGGCTTCCAGGCCTACTAGGCCGAGGAGGCTAGTCAACGCTATGATGATGTTCACTTTACTGGTTAAGATGACGTATTCCGATTCTAAGATCAAGGGGCAGATCGTCACGGTCAATATTGATGCAGCTGGCCCCTTGCTACGTTATGTGGAGCAGGCCACAGATTCGGTGATTTTGGTTCAAAAGCACAAGTCAGATGGATCAATGTTGCCCAGCCTGCAGTACAAGCTGAAGTGCATGGGCTACCACGGCATATTCTCGGCGGCCAAGCGCACGGCAGCTGACGGGCTCTCAGCAGGGGTTGCAGTTATCACGCCGTGTTTTATCACGATTACGGCGCCACCACTGCTCAAAGACCTTGAGATTGTGCCCTCTCGGGCTGTGGCAGCGCAGGTCAACTGGGGCCTCAAGAGTGGGCTGGTGGTCATATCCCTATACTTGCAGGATTCCGTGGACCTGAATGACTACAACCTCATGATTCTACACAAGGTGGCGCAATACGTGGGCCGCCTCAATGCAGCAAATCGGCCTTGGGTCATTGGAGGTGACTTTAACATGAGTGCGAATTTGATCGGAGCACAGGAGTGGGTGGCGCAGACGAATGCGTTGATGATGGTCCCGTCGCACGTCACATGTCGCACCACCAACTCGACTGAGGGCAAGATTTATGATTATTTTATGGTTCACTCCAAGTTGGCCGCTGTCATTGAGCCACCAGATGTGTTGGAGGCTGCAGGGCTACCCACGCATGCACCTGTTGTTCTTTCGATTCGAGCTGCGCCCAAGAAGATTTGGCTTAGGGTCCCTGTTGAGCCCAAGCAGTTACCAAAGCTACCCAAGCAAGGTTGTTCGCGATATCCTATGAACTGGGATCATGTGATGGGCACCATTCTACGTGCTCATGACGACGACACGCTCAAGATGGCTTGGGATGCAGTTATCACTGGAGTGGAATTTGAGATACTCAACAGGTACGACGTGGTAGACGATGAGGCTGCTCCGTACAGGGGCAGAGCTGGCCCGAGGGAGACCAAGTTTGTCGAAGCACACTGGGCCCCCCAAGCGTGAGGCGGGAGGCCTTGGGCCGAACGCCTTAGCTTGGCTGGCTGCGGCCAGATGGGCGAAACATCTCATGAGAGTGCGAGCCTTCTGGATCAAATTGGTGCAGGAAGCTATACGTGATGATAGGCGTGCGGGCGAATTTCACCTTCCTGATTACAGCTCGCCCTGGACCAGCAGACAGCCATCCTTGGCGCCTGCAGCTGCAGCTCCTAAGCGAGAGGGATCAGAGGCAGGCGGCAACTGGATGACGGTCACCAGCAGGTCGAGTTCACAGAGGGCACCTACGAGTGGGTCATGCAGCCTACGCCCTATGAAGGACGAGACTGCCCCGCGGCGCGCGTCCTCCGCTGATCCGCGCATGCCCGCGGCTCTCAGCTCAGTGACCCCGTGCGGTGGTATCGCTGGAGGGCTGATGGCGCCGTGTACTGCAACTACGACCAGTGATGTCTCTGCCCCTGGTAGAGGGCCTACGGGTACTACTACGGTGACCGCGACGACTGCGTCAGCCTCAAGGCCACGTGAGGATCCAGGGAATCCTGGCAGGGCGCATTCCAGGAAGCAGCGAGCATCAGCGAGACTGAACCCCATCGACAGATTGGCTCGTTCGCTAGTGGACACAGATCGCTTCTTGCTCAAGATAGTGGGGCAGCATAACCACATGTGGAGTCACCTGGATGAGGAGACTCAGGGATTCTTCCTAGATGGCATCGCCTTGCTAGGAAGAGACGACTTCGAGCAGCATATATACCGCATAGTCGAGCGTGCTGATGAAGTTCACCAGGAGCATAGGAAGAAGGTGGAGGACAGCTGGAGGTCTTGGATCGACATGGCGTTCAAGAAAGGAGCAGGCCCTGTGCATCGCACGTCTAAGGTCAAGGCCTTGGAGGCAGCAGTGGCGCACACTGACAGAATGCAGCCGTACCAGATGGCCGACAGGGAAATGGATGTCTGGCATGAGGTATGGTCCTGTCATGGGCAGCGTGAGCCACCATTGCCGAGTGATGCGCATACATGGGAGGATCTTCCCCCGCTTCGGCCAGAAGACTTGTCCAGGGCAGCTCTCACGTTCACTTGGACGACGGCCACTGGGCCGACGAGGCTGCACCCTCGCGCATTTTTCTTCCTCTCTGATGCTGGCTTGTTGGCGCTCTGCACACTGTGCCACACGTGCGAGCGGATGCTGTACTGGCCGACACAGAGAATTGTCAACGAGATGGTCAGGCTTGCCAAGCCCGATGGAGGCACGCGGCTGATCACTTTAGTAGAGAGCTTAGTACGTTTGTGGGCGCGAGCAAGGCGCCCGATTTCAAGAACATGGATTGCACAGCATGGGAGCCCTTTCATTTGGGGCAACAGGAGGGGACACTCTTCCAGTTATTCCGCGTTTGCGCACAACCTAGAGGCGGAGATTGCTGCTTCTCTGGGAGAGAGTTCAGTCACGGTGTTTCTCGATATGTGGAAATGTTTCGGGACAGTGCTGTTCCCTGCATTGCTTGATGAAGCCAGGTGCCTGGGGTTCCCTCTTCGTTTATTATGGATGTTAATCAACTCGTATTCACAGCCAAGGGTGATAAAGGCGTTTGGATGTTGGAGCAAGCAGGTGGTGGTGTACCAGGGCATCCTCGCGGGCTGCACCCACGCCACCACCCTCCTCACCATCCTCACCTACAGGGCCCTCATGAAGGTGCACCAGATAGCCCCCAACGTGACCCCGAGAGCGCTCGTGGATGACAGCACGTTCCAATGGGTTGGGCCGTCGGGGACTTCTTCGGCTGAGTTGTTCTTGGGGATCCAGAGCTTCGTCAAGGATTCGGCCAAGTTGGGGCTCCTGTTGCAGGTCAAGAAACCGGGCTGGGTCTCCAATACTAGGAAGGGGCACCAGGGGTTTCGCAAGTTGGCCTCAAGGATCAACCTCAAAAGCAAAAAGTGGGTCCGAAATCTTGGGCATGAACTTAGTGGGCCAGTTCCTGTGAGGAAACAAGCTAAGGCTAGGATGAAGGGCTTGCAGGACAGGCTCCCAAGGCTTATCATGCTCCAGAAGGCGGCTGGCAACAGAGTCACCGCTATCTGGAGAACAGGACTCCTTCCAGCTGCTGCGCACGGCGCGACTGTATCAGGAGTCAGCGACCAAGAGCTTGCCCGTTTACGCTCTGTTGCTGGCATGTTATGTGGCCGTTCGACGGCAGTTTCTTCTCTCACTGTATATCTGGCTACGCAGGCTGACGCCAAGTACGACCCAATATACAATGCCACCATGGACCCCCTGAAGGCCTACTGCAGCTTCGTCTGGGACAACAGAGTTTGCCTTGGGAGACTGCAGAGGGCCTGGATGAAGGTGGATGAGGGGCTCAAGATTAAGGCCTCTTGGACCTCGGCAAGGGGGCCCATTGCTGTTGTATGGATGTCTTGAGGAGAATAGGATGGGGCATGTATTCCGCCACGGGGATCTACAGCGACCTAGGTCACACGTTTGACCTCCTTCAGCTCTGTCCCA